AGCCCAGAGAAAGCCTAGAATGCTGTAAGAAGAACACAGTGGGGAGTTCTGATTATGAACTGGACTACAGGCCATCCTTTTTATACTGTAGCAAGGAACATGAATGTACTCTGTCTATCCCCTGAGATGTTATGGGAGACTGAGTTTAAAGACTAATCAGAGGAGATTTCAAGGCAGCATACTGATGTTGCATGGATATCATTAGCTGGTTTTAGCCAGATTTACAGTGAGAATGGAAGCAAAAAGAACAGAAAACTGAAAAACTTGAAGTTTAGCCAACAAAAGAGCACATTTAAAGTTGCTGCCAAGGAGGGTGTAGAGATTAGCACCATTTAAAAGAAGCACTCTGCCCTATGACAATAGGAAAGATATTTTGAGGGCATCTCAGGAATTTGGCCACACACACACACACACACTCTCTCTCTCTCTCTCTCTCTCTCTCTCTCTCTCTCTCTCTCTCTCTCTCTCTCTCTCTCTCGTAGGCTCAAGGGTATGAAAGTGAAACTCTTTCAAAAGAGAGATCCCAGGGCACCCTGCTCATACTGGGCTGCCTAAGGGACTGTCTCCCTGGGATTCATTTCCCCAGTTTGTTTGATAAGGCACTCAAAGGCTGCTGAAGGTATGGTTCAAGGGGATCAAGGATGATTCTGCACAGGTGGCAGACGTCAGCATCCTCCACATGCTAGTTCTGCAGGCATGCAGAATAGAATAACAAGGGCATCATGGAGGCTTCCAGTAAGATTTCAAAGGAAAACCTAGGAGGCCAGTCAGTGTGGATCAGGGTCAGAATCTCTGCAAGGAGCCCTGGGTGAAACAATGTGTAGATCAATGAGAGTGAAGCTGAAGCTTCAGTGGAGACCCCAGGAAGTGAGAGATACCAGGAACATGTAACACCTGCTGAGGAAAGCTGCAGGAAACCAGAAGAGCCAGCCCAGAAGAGAGGCCATGTGGGCTGCAGCCAGCAAGGCCATTGGGGAGGGGCCACCCAAGCCCTTTGGAGCTGACATCTCCCTGCCATGTGCTCTGAACCACTGACATGGAGTTACAGGATTTAATGTTTGCCTTGCTGGGATTTGGTCTTGCTTTGGTCAGATTCCTCCTCATATTTTCCTATTCATCCTGTTGGAAATGAGATGTTTACCAACCCTGTACCATTGTATCCTGGAATTATTTACCTTGTTCTGATTTATTCAGGGGTTCACAGCTGAATTCATCTAGAGTCTCAGCGGAGACTGTGGACTTGGGCTTTTGAGCAATGCCAGAACTGTTAAGAATTTGGAGATTCTTGGAGGTGGACTAAATGCATTTTGCATTGTGAGATGGACATGAATCTTTGGGCGTGAGGGCAGAAGGTTATGATTTGGATCTTAAATGATCCCCCAAAAGCCCATATGATAAAGGCTTAGGTTGCCAGTATGTGACACTACTGAGAGATGGTATAACCTTTAAGACACAGGGCATATTTAAAGGAAGGCAGGCCACTGGGAGTGTGCCCTTGAAGAGGATTTGGGATGCTGGCTCCTTCTTATCTCTTTAGTCACTTCCTAGCTGCCATGAGGTAAGCAGCTTTGCTATACCACACATGCCCTGACATAATCTTCTGCCTCACAACAGGCCTAAAGACAACAAAGCCAACCGATCATGGACTGAAACCTTAATCTTTCCTTCCTATAAGTAGATTTTCTCAGGGATTTGTCACAGAATGCAAAGCTGAAAGGACATGATACAAGAAAAGAACCTGCTACAAAGGAACACAAGTTCTCTTCCCAGTCCTAATCCTGCCTCCATCAAACTACTTAGTTTACATGGCCTCAGGGAAATGACCAGTAATGATTTACTGTTTATTCCCCCTTTCAACACTAACAAAGTAAGAAAAAATGTGGTCTAATATGGTTTCTAGTGAAAAATTTTTTTGCAGCAGCAGTAGCACTGGGGTTTGAACTCGGGGCCTCACACTTGCTAGGCAGGAGCTATAGCACCTAATCAAACAAACTTAAATTATCTTTTATATAGATATTATACAGATTATAAGATACCTTTTATATTTATGACATTATCCTAAATGCAATTGCTTGTTCATCAGAAAGACACAGCTATAATACTAATTCTACTAGTAAAATAAACATACAAATAAATAAATACATACATGTTTACACTCAGGAGAGAATATTAGAAAGAACTATTCTAAAATATTAATAGTAGGATATCTTCAGATTATGGGAGTCTAAGATTTTGTCCCTTAGAATTTTTGTATTATGTAAAAGTTCTATAATGAACATATATTATTTTCATAATAAAAACCACACTTTTTTCTAAAATAATATAAAGATCTTAACAATATATACTGATGATAGGATTATAAAGTTTCAAATAGACGAAATCCCTTTGAAATTATATTAGGAAGTCAACACCATATTGGAGTACAATATAGTCCCTCAATATAATAACTTAAGTCAGTTTTTCTTCCATTTTCAAAATAAATTTGTTTCTCCATTTTGGCAGATGTGGCACTTGAGTCACAAGTGCCACATCTGCCAAAAGTGGCTCAAGCAGTAGAACTGAGACATGAGACCCTCAGTTCAAACCCTAGTACTGCAAAAAAAAAAAAGAAAGAAAGAAAGAAAAGAAAAAAAAGTTACAAATCATGTCATCTAAAAACAACGTATCTTTTAATTCAGAACCACACAGCAAGATGGCCAAACCTCTAGAGGCTAACTGGACAAACAGTAGACGCAGAATGGTTCCTACCGCACACTTCATGAGGCCGACACATGGTTCCCACTGCACACTTCATGAAGCAGACCCATGGGTCTTACTGCACACTAATGAAGTATGTTAATTGTGGGTGAACTGGTCTGAAATATTCAAATCCTTATTTCTGTCCTTTTTTTCTGTCAAATACACACAAATGAATTTGCAAATGTTAAATATAATGCATCTCTGCAGTAAACATAAATGTGGTTGAGCTTTGGCAATATTGGCAGTACACCAAAATTGACATAGGCAAGAAAGAGGGAGCCCCCATCAGACTGATATGTAGTCATAGTATTTGGCTGGTTTAGCTATTAAAATGCTATGATTCTTCATCACTTCATTAGTCTAAGTCTCTTGAGGGATCCTAGTACCTTGGCCCACCAAGGATCCCTTATATCTAGTGACTAAAGGGGAAAATAACACACTGTGGTGTCCACTTGATAGTTAATTGTGGGGAGCGGAGTATGAGAAGCCTGTAAGAACTTGAAGCACATCTATGCCAAATAATCTGCAGGCTGAGTTGGCATGGTCCCAGCGGCAGAAGGGGGTGAGAGCAAAATGCAGCATGGCTACTTTTCCTAAGATGTTTACGTTTAGAGAGTAGTGATCACAGGTTTCTCCTATTACATCACACCCCTCCCCAGATCTATTGCTCTCCCTCTTTGTTTGCCACTGTATATAAAAGACTTGCTGAAGGGGGCTGGCTGCTTGTGAGGTTGGCTGCTTGCTTGGGATGGCTGCTGCTGACTGCTTGTTAGGCTGCTACTGATGACGCTGCTACTGCTGCTGCTGGTGATGGTGTGTGTCTGCGAGTCTAAGGACAGAGGCTTTAGGAGTTATGCTACAGATGAGAGGAAAGATGGGACAGTGCAAGTCTGAGGACTGAGACTTTAAAGAATAGAAAAGAAGAAAGGCTTTAAAGAATAGAAAAAAAGTAAAGTTTTAAAGAATAGAGAAAAGAAGCAAAGTAAAAGAAGAGAAGAATAGAGAAAGGAAGTAACGAGGCTGTTGTGTGTCTCTATCGAAGCACCCAGCACACCTGACCCCAGCTTTGTGCATGTTGGTCTTCTATATTTTGTCCTTTCTGCATCTCCAGTCGCCCCCCAGTTAGGTTCATAGGACGGAGCTTGCGTGGGTCACAAGAGTTAATATTTCAATCACTATCTTGTCTCCACCTACATCCCCCCTATCCATTTCTAGCCACTGCTGATCCCTGGCTACCAGTTATTCTAGCACTTTCATTTAAAATTTGTAAAGAGAGCTAGATTTACAGAGCATCGCGTGCGCGCGCGCGCGCGCGCGCGCATGTGCGTGTGTGTGTGTGTGTGTGTGTGTGTGTGTGTGTGTGCTCACCCAAATGCACATGTGCATGTTTAAGGGAAGACAGCATGCATAACAGAAATCTTATTTCTTAGACAATGGGGAATTTCATCTTGGGCTTTATTTCAGGCTCTCAAGTCAGATATCATTAAGAATCTGATACATCAGGGATTTTGTTCTTCATCCTGACCAATCCAAAAACTACTTCATCCTCTTACTGTCTGATGGATCCTCTAACTTCTCTAAAGCACATTATCTTCCCAAGAAAAAGAGAAAGCTAATTCCTGATGCTAACAAGAACAGAACAGTTCTAATTGAAAGGTATAGAATTTTCAAAAAAAAACTGAATATCCCAAAATGTCATCTGAGATACAGAATGTCAATGTTTATAATACCAAAGTGATTTACAGAAGAAATTTATTTTTATCTACAATTAGTGAAAAATAAGTAACTAAACAAAAGTTCAGAAGAAAGGCTTAATTAGATAACAGAAAAAAACAGCATAATTAAAATTCTACTGTTTTTAAAATAAATAAAACCATATTTTAAAAAGCGTATAGCAAGAATGATTTTAATAAGTCAGAGAACAGAAAATTCTATGGCTGTTTAAAATGACTACTCTAAGGAGCTAGATTTCATCAGCACACATTGTAGTTATAATGGCAAGTTGGTAATTATATATTTTTATTATTGTTGCTGTTGCTGCTTTTCTTAGGATTTTTTTTTTTAGGATGAGATTTATTTGTAAAAATTTTCCTCTCTTTTAAAATACCTCAAAGCTAAAAATATTAGCTAGAGCAAAAATTTCTTAAATATCTAAGTACAAATGTAAGTCACCCATTATGCATGATAATTTTCAGAATTTTGGAAAACAGTACAAAATGTCTTTATTTTCACTACAAAATGCAGAAAAAGAATATCCACACCTGGGTAGGTCCAGGAATGTAAGACAGAACTCTCTCTATGTTTTCAGAGGTCACATCAACATCATTCACAGCAACAAGGACATCACCTAAAAGCAAAATAACAAAAGACAGATGTATAAATATCCAAAACCCGAAGACATCTAGAATTGAAACATTCAAAAGCAGCTATTCTGACTTCCTCAAAGTAAAATGGAAAGTATGATACAGATATGCACAGTCTTATCCAAGTTTCTACAGTACATTAGTGACACAGCTACCCACCCAACCCTATCCCCTTAATGCATAATACTGCCCAACATCTCACCATAATTAACTACAACCTATGAATATTTAAAAAGATGAGTATTCCCAGTCTTGATGTAATTGGGAGGGTATGTAAGCCCAAAGGACACGTAGAAAATTTTTAGCATAAACCAAGTATTGCACTTAACAAACCACTTACACCACAGTGAAAAAAAAATCAGCTAAAATTCTAATTAAATCCATGTGGTACATCACAACTCAATATACTGTGGTGTTCACTGCTAGTACTGATTTGTATCTACATACAGTTCCTTGCTCCAAAGATATCAACGATACGAAAATACACAGCATGTTTCAGTGAAAATCTCCTTTTCCATGGCTATTCACTCTTCAGATGTGTATGTTTATCAAATTTGGTGATAAAAATCAATGTTAAAATGGAAATTTACTTTCAGAACACAATTGAAAGTAATATCAAAACACCAGTGAGTGTGTTAACAGAAACACAGATTTAGGTTATTTTTCTTATCATTTCAAAATATATCATTAGGAAATTAACCAAATAACCACATGCCTCTATTCCTTCCACAAATATGTGTAAAGCACCTACTGAGAAGCAGGCATTGCTCTAAGCATTATGTGTAGAAAATTAAAAAAACAGAGACAAACTCTACCCTCGTAAAGCTTACTGTTCTTTGGAGAAAATGGGGAATAAACATGTATCTAGGTATGACAGTGTGGTACACAATTCTCCATGGGTCTTTCATGTTTCTGTACATCTTGCAAGCAGAGGCACCAAGTCTTTTTTCTCTTCTGTCTTTTGAAGGACCTCTGTACAGTGAACAGCCTTGGATGACAGAGACAGTGTCTCCCTCCAAAGCAAAGGTCAAGTTCACTTACTATACACAGTGTAATAAGGATGATGTCTTGCTCAATATCTTCTTATTCACAATTATTTAAAAGACTGGTGTTTCCTCAGTGCAAATTTCCTCTCCTTTAATACAAACCACTGTGAAGTGTCACCTGGGCCTCTTTAGGGTTGGTAAACAGATGAAATCTTTGATCCTCTAGGTACTGCTGTTTCTCCCTTGCTTCCTTTCTCTCCCTGATGCTTTATTGTATGGATAAAGGGCTCAGTGAGCAGGAGGAATTTCTTAGTCATCCAGCTGAAGGCTTACAAAGGCTATTAGATGCACAAGAGATGCTACTGAGTTGAGAGTTACAATTATGGCCACAGAGTTATTATGACAGCCAATCACTGCAGTGCTTTGGGCAAGCTGGGAACTTTTCTTTCTTTCTCCACCCCTCTTTGCTTGGTGGTACTGGGGTTTGAACTTAAAGCTTTGTACTTGCGGGCAAGCACTCCACCATTTGAGCCACACAACCCAGAAGCCAAGAACTGTTCTTGGAAGAACTTGCTGAAATAAACTTCTGACTTCACTTCCACTAAGAAAAATAAAATGCTCCTCTAATTCCTCTTGAGATTAAACAACAGTACTGTACTAAATTCTTATAGTTGTTACGATTTTTTGACCATTCTAATGCTGGGTTTTATTCTCTATAGATTATGTTATTCTTAGAGCACCTAAACAATCAAACTATTTTAAATTTACTACTTTAAACTAAAACTCCACTGAATGATGTCCCAAATGGCTTTTTTTCCTCAAAACCAAATGAATACATTTCAATAGCTGCGTGTTGTACAGAGTACCATCTGAAAGTATCATGTCTAGCCAGGTGCTGTAGCTCAAGTCTATAATCCTAACTACTTGGGAACAGAAATCAGAAGGATTGTAGTTCAAGGTCAGTCCATACAAAAAGTCCATGAGATCCCATCTCAACAGCTGGGTGTGTTGGCATGCCTGTCATTCCCAAATATAAGGAAAAGTGGTATGCCAGATCAACCTAGGCATAAAGTAAGACCCTACCTCAAACATAACCAACACTGCTGGCAGAGTGGCTAAAGAGGCAGAGTGCCTGCCTAGCAAGTGTGAAATACTGAATTCAAACCCCAGTACCTCCAAATAATAATAATAATAAAAACCAACAAAGTAAGGGCTGGCAAAGTGGCTCAAGTGGCAAAGGACTCTAGCAATGGTAATAACAATAATGGGTATAACAATGCTGTTATGATTTTTTTTTCAGCTCCAACCTCTATTCCTCAACTAAAATATGTGGGTACTATGTGATCACACTATATGTGAGAGTCAGTCTCTCCCAATTGGTCACTATAGAAGTCCTTGACTAATGTAACTCACATTTGTAAATATTCAGAACACTTCATTAGAAGAATATCACATTTTCTGAATATCGTATTCCCTAGTGGTAGTGGATAAGCAACTAGTGCAAGATTTTTACTTCTTATTAAATTATAAAATAGTATTACAGACATGTTAGGAAAATCATTGGTGGCCCTAGTACTATAATTATGGGTATTTTTGCAAGTTAGGATTAGTCTTTACTATGTTCACTCAAATAAGGTATAGGAGGTTTTTATCCTTTTAAACCTTTCAAGAATAAGAATTATTGTGCTGGCATATGGTTTATAGAATTTAATTTTAATGGTCAAATAACATCTTAAATTATAAATAACTATGCCATTTGACATTTTATGCTTTAAATTTTTTAATGTTACTTTTTTTCTGTTAAGGGCCAGAGAGAAAATATTTTAGGTTGTGCTGGCCATATGGGCTTTGTGGCAACTACTCAATTCTGCTGCATTCATAGCTTGAAAGCAGCCACAGACAACAGATGAATGGGGCTGTGCTCCAACAAAATGTTAAGATGGACACTGATATTGGGAGTTCATATATTTTCCTTATAAACTATGATGTACAAACATGGTGGTGGGTCTAATGTGACCTGCTAGCTATAAATTGCTGATCTGCTTTAGATTATGTTTTAGGATTAAAAATGCACTGAATAGGTTAAATGGTACCTTGCTGTAAATTAATACTTATTTCCAAATTACTTGTGAACAGATAAAATAATTTTTCCCTTTTTTTAATTTAAAGAGAAATAAATCCTTTAGCACTTTCTCCCACTATTGAAGTGAGCAACATGGCAAGTCAAAGAACCCTCAAATCGAAATCAGAACAAGCTTTTATCAGTAACTGGCCATCTGCTCTTTGTCCCCTACCTGTAGAAGGAAGTAATTGCACCAGGAGCTCCCTGGAGAAGCCTAAAATCGCTAAAATCCTGCCTCTTCAGGCCCTTTTCTGTATTGTTGGGTCAAGTATCAGCAGCAAAAATGTGGGAAGGAAATGGGGAAGGGGGATTAGGGAGACCCAGTAGAGTTACTGGGTTCCAGTAACTACAGATGGGGAAAATAAAAATATATACCAAATAAAAATGAAAACTATTAAGAGAATAAAGCCATGCATTAGGTGTCGTTCATAAAACACAAGCCTATCTTTTTTAAAAAAGCAACCAAAATGCCTATCAACAATGGAATGAAAAAATAGTGTGCATAAAATGGAATACTAGATAGGTGTGATGGTGCATGCCTATGATCCCAGCACTTGGGAGGCTGAGGCAGAAGGATCACAGTTCAAGGCCAGCCTAGGCTACATAATGAGCTCCAGACCAGCCAGGGATATACAGTGAGACCGTGTCTCAAAAAAAAAGGAAGTATTTCACAGCAACAACATGGATACTTATAAAATCTGAGTGAAAGAAAAGACAGAAGAGAATATATACCATTTAGTTCCATTTATATAAAGTTCAAAAACAGGCAAAATTGATTGTGTGGCTAGAAAATTTACAGATTACCTTGGACGGGTGTTAACTGACTGTAAGGAGGCAGCAAAGAGCCTTTTAGGTACTGAGTGTGACTGGGAGGTAGTTACACAGGTAAATACATGCCTCAAAAACATTAACTGTGCACTTAGGATCTGTGTACAGTATGAATGGATGTTATATCTCAATCAAAGATTTTTAAAAAATAAACAAAAATCTTCAAAAATTGTAAAAGAGAATCTTAATACACCAAGTGTGTCTTATAAAACAAATCTATTCAGTAATCACAGGTTGAGACCATAAGGTATACAAAAAGAGCTTGAAATAAAAACTCTATTCTTCCTTCATCAGAAAGAATCTACAGAGGAACAGGTATCTGGAATATCAACGTATGATGCTCCTAACCCTGTCCCTTCTAATATTCAAAAAAAAATTAAGAATGAAATCACCAAGATGATACACAGCTTCCACGACGCTAGTGAAAAATGAACTTCCATTTGCTCTGGTCTGGGAATGGGAGCTGGCTACAAGAAGCCCTGGAGCTCTCAGATGACTGCCAAACTGTAAGAGAAACTCAGAAATAGAAACATAAGAAACAAAAATGAAAGTCTTCCACAGCAGGAACAACAAAAGTAGCACACAAAAAAGGCAAAAAATCCTCTAAGACCCCACAAAGAAGAATGAGAATAGGGTTCTGCTGCCTTGAAAGAAAGGAAGGAGACAAGTCACTGGGCTTGCTCTCATAAATGCAGTCAGTCAGTGAGGTGGCAAAAGGGAACTCTAGGACATTATCACCAGCACAAAGCTTTCTTAATCCTGTGAGAGCTCACCTTGCAGTTCAACCACAGACCATAGTGTGAAACATGACTATCAGAAACAAGCAAGAAATTCATAACAAAGCAATCCTTGAGCAGAACCCATGATGATCTTAAAACAGTCCCTTCTTTTTTTTCTAAAGTACATAGTTTTTAAGATATGTAACAATCATAAAATTAAAAATCTGGAAAAGTAGAGAAAACAATCACCCATAATGCCCCACACTAACGTAATATTGCCAGCAGTGGCTATATTTATACTCACTTTTTTTCTTCTTCACATTCTTATT